TTCTGAACTTTCAGAAAAACGGCTCTGATGATTAAGACAGATTGTCTGCTTTCAGACACCCAGATCTGAAAATTCAGACAAAAATGTGTCTGACTTCTTAGGCAATTTTTTAGTAAGTCTCGGTTGCTGAAGTATTAAAAATTGAGACATTGATTGAAGAGAGAGAGAGAGAGAGAAAGAGTATTTATTTATTTAATAGAAACAGGAAAAATCCCTTTGATATAATAAATGAATTACGTGATTAACAAGAATTGTAACAAGAATAACAAATAAAAAAAGAATACAAAGAAAAAAAAAATACGAAGTTATTAAAAACAAGACAAAACAATAATAAAGGGGAAAAATGAAGAAATTACAAATAGAAAAAATTTATTTATAGAACTTTCATTCAATCTTAGAAAACGCTCTAAAAAATAATTATTGTAAATAATTGTTTGTATGAAGTTACAACAAAGTATTCTTTTGTATTTTTGAATCTCCTTCTCTCTCTTGTTTTCTTTGAGATACTTATACTATATTTAACAACTGACGTATACAGGGTGTTCCAAGTCTGATCAATTAGCTATAACTTTTTAACGAAATGTTTCCGGACCTATGTTTATCCGAACATTTTTGTTTCAAATTCAATTTCCTATAAGACCCTAAAGTTTCACTGATCTGATCTGGAACACCCTGTATATTTTACTCATCGCATAATTTTCCGCCGTGTTCAAAACGACATCGATCTTCGTTGGACGCAGTCGCAGATATTCGAAACCTTACTATCGCATTGCGACGAATTAGAATGTCACGTCATCGGTCCGTGTTAAGTCTTTGTATAGAGTTACCACAGACGTCTTCTTTTCGAATTTTTTAATCTAAATGTCATCAAGCCATCGTTTCTAAGAATCCAAAAAAATAAGAAAAAAAAAGTCTCAACAACCCAAAATCTTGGAAATGCATACATGTGTTCCCTTCTCCTGTCAAATACGGTAACTCTGTTAGTCTCATTGTCCGTTATATATTATTGCAAAATGCAACTGCGTTCAAGGGAGCGCATCATTGCGCAAGTCTCTTATCGCGGCGCGTTTTCATGAGTAACGCTCACATTCTCTTGTCGTTACGCGATATCTTATACTCCGCGCGAGAGCGTTCTATCCGCGAGAATATCTCTCGCGGCTAGAAGTTTATCGATAATTTAACACATCGCCAACGGAACGGAATCTATTACAGCGATGGAGTGTTAAGTAGGCGGGAGAGCGTTGCGTATACTTATACGCGACTGGTAACGAGACGCCATAAGCGCTTCGAGTTATCGGCTTATGTGCTTCCATGACGCGCAAATTATCGCGAGATAGATTTTATTGGCGAAAAACGTGAGCACATGATATCGAGACGACGTTAGATCCCGGCAGAATTATCAAAGCTCGTGAGACTTTAACTTTATTTTGTGCGCGGGCATCTAAGGATGTTTTGGCTGTACAATAGTAGAAAAAAATGTTTTTTAAATTAAAATTGTCAAAATTAAAAAAAAATATATTTTTTACGTTTATATTGTTTGAAAAATCAAAATAAATAAATTAATAAAATCCGAATTATAAAAAGAATTAAAATATCACAAAATAATATGGTTTTTAACGTTTTCGTAAAAAAAAAAAATAGTTGTAATTAATATCTTTCCTAATTTATGATAAAAACTTTTGATCGTGAAATAAACTACAAGAAACAAAAAAAAAACGAGTTATTTGCAGAAAGAGAGAGACAAATAATATTATTTTACAATTTTTAGTAAATAATTTTTAAACGAATAAGTAGATCTAAATCAAGTTTTGCACAAATATTTATTAGTTTTCTTAATATGTGAAAATTTTTATTTCGTTGACAATATTTTTTCCTTGTCAAATTTATCAATAGGTACTACAATATGCAATTTTCCATAAGAATCAAGACTAACTTTAAACTTAAATAATTTCTAAATCGTTAAGAGAATTGTGCTCAGGTTTTGCACAGATATTCAGAAGAAATAGTAGAACAATCTATGAAATTTTCATGTTTTTGTCAATATTTTGACATATGACATAGACATCCTTAATTTTACTCCCCAAAAAATTGATGACAAACTTAATTATTATTAAAAATTACGTAAAAAGAGTTCAAACTAATGTAAAATCGTGCAAAGTCGTAACTAAAGCGTAGTATAAAAAAAAATACAAATAAAAATATAAAAATAAATATTTAACAATAAAGGCGAAATTTAGGATGGGTCTCCAATTAACTTCCTTATGTACGTCTCGCGCCATATCTATCGTACGAACCATAATTTCGCCGTGCCTTATTTCCTTCCCTGTTATCCACGAAAAATCCCGATCCAGGTCGTTATTAGCGATAGTTGGGAGAGACGAAGGGAGATGCAAAAGAATAGTTGGCGGTCGTTTGATAGCGGCGGCAACGGATACTTAAACGTCTACGAAGGAGGGGCCCCGTCATCGCACAGGATACGAGGGAGGGCATATATGTATATCTCTCCCAGGTATATAAACAGACCTGAAGGGGGATCTGAGGGGGAGGGCAGGGTTCGATGTGGAAAGTGCCAGGGAGAATGCGAGACAGGTACCCCCCCCCCCCCCCAAACCAAA